CTCTTTGAATGCTAACATTCAACCATGCTACAGCTTATTTTTAATGATAACATTCACTCATGCTACAGCTTCTCTTTGAATGCTAACATTCACCCATGCTACAGCTTCTCTGTGAATGCTACCATTCAACCATGCTACAGTTTCTCTTTTAATGCTAACATTCACCCATGCTACATCTTATCTTTCAATGCTAACATTACCCCATGCTACAACTTATCTTTGAATGCTAACATGCATCCATGCTACAGCTTCTCTTTGAATGCTAACATTCACCCATGCTACGGCGTATCTTTGAATGTTAACATGCACCCTTGCTACAGCTTCTCTGTGAATGCTAACATTCCCCTATGCTGCAACTCCTCTTTGAATGCTTACATTCACCCATTCTACAGCTTATCTTTGAATGTTAACATTCAACCCAAGCTACAGCTTCTCTGTGAATGTTACATGCACCCATGCTACAGCTTCTCTTTGAATGTTACATTATGTACCCATGCTACAGCTTCTTTTTTGAATCTTAACATGCATCCATTCTACAGTTTCTCTTTGAATGCTAACATTCATCCATGCTACAGCTTATTTTTGAATGCTAACATTCACTCATGCTACAGCTTCTCTTTGAATGCTAACATTCACCCATGCTACAGCTTCTCTGTAAATGCTATCATTCACCCATGCTACAGCTTCTCTTTTAATGCTAACATTCACCCATGCTACAGCTTATCTTTCAATGCTAACATTACCCCATGCTACAACTTATCTTTGAATGCTAACATTCACCCATGCTACAGCTTCTCTGTGAATGCAAACATTCACCCATGCTACAGCTTCTCTTTGAATGTTAACATGCACCCATGCTACAGCTTCTCTTTGAATGCTTACATTCACCCGTGCTACAGCTTATCTTTGAATATTAACATGCACCCATGCTACAGCTTCCCTGTAAATGCTAACATTCATCCATGGTACAGATTCTCTTTGAATGCTATCATTCAACCATGCAACAGCTTATCTTTGAATGTTAACATGCACCCATGCTACAGCTTCTCTGTGAATGTTAACATGCACCCATGCTATAGCTTCTTTTTGAATGTTAACATGCACCCATTCTACAGCTTCTCTTTGAATGCTAATATTCACCCATGCTAGAGCTTATCTTTAAATGCTAACATTTACCCATGCTACAGCTTCTCTTTGAATGCTAATATTCACCAATGCTACAGCTTCTTTTTTAATGTTAACATGCAACCATTCTACAACTTCTCTTTGAATGCTAACATTCACCCATTCTACAGCTTCTCTTTGAATGCTTACATTCACCCATGCTACAGCTTATCTTTGAATGTTAACATTCACCCATGCTACAGCCTCTCTGTGAATACTAACATTCACCCATGCTAAGCTTCTCTTTGAATGTTAACATGCACCCATTCTACAGCTTCTCTTTGAATGCTAACATTCACCCATGCTACAGCTTATCTTTGAATGCTAACATTTACCCATGCTACAACTTCTCTTTAAATGTTAACATGCACCCATGCTACAGCTTATCTTTGAATGTTAACATGCACCCATGCTCAGCTTGCCTGTGAATGCTAACATTCACCCATGCTACAGCTTCTCTTTGAATGCTAACATTCACCCATGCTACAGCTTATCTTTGAATGCTAACATTCACCCATGCTTCAACTTCTCTTTGAATGATAACATGCACCCATGCTACAGCTTCTCTTTGAATGCTAACATGCACCCATGCTACGGCTTATCTTTGAATGTTAACATGCACCCATGCTACAGCTTCCCTGTGAATGCTAACATTCACCCATGCTGCAGCTTCTCTTTGAATGCTAACATTCACCCATTCTATAGCTTATCTTTGAATGTTAACATTCATCCCATGCTACAGTTTCTCTGTGAATGTTACATGCACCCATGCTACAGCTTCTCTGTGAATGTTACATTATGTACCCATGCTACAGCTTCTTTTTTTAATATGAACATGCATCCATTCTACAGCTTCTCTTTGAATGCTAACATTCACCCATGCTACAGCTTATTTTTGAATGCTAACATTCACTCATGCTACAGCTTCTCTTTGAATGCTAACATTCACCCATGCTACAGCTTCTCTGTGAATGCTAACATTCACCCATGCTACAGCTTCTCTTTGAATGCTAACATTCACCCATGCTACAGCTTATCTTTCAATAATAACATTACCATATGCTACAGCTTATCTTTGAATGCTAATATTCACCCATGCTACAGCTTATCTTTGAATGCAAACATTCACCCATGCTACAGCTTCTCTTTGAATGTTAACATGCACCCATGCTAAAGCTTCTCTTTGAATGCTTACATTCACCAGTGCTACAGCTTATGTTTGAATGTTAACATACACCCATCTACAGCTTCTTTTTTAATGTTAACATGCACCCATTCTACAGCTTCTCTTTGAATGCTATCATTCACACATGCAACAACTTATCTTTGAATGTTAACATGCACCCATGCTACAGCTTCTCTGTGAATGTTAACATGCACCATGCTATAGCTTCTTTTTGAATGTTAACATGCACCCATTCTACAGCTTCTCTTTGAATGCTAACATTCACCCATGCTAGAGCTTATCTTTAAATGCTAACATTCACCCATGCTACAGCTTCTCTTTGAATGCTAACATTCACCCATGCTATAGCTTCTTTTTGAATGTTAACATGCAACCATTCTACAACTTCTCTTTGAATGCTACCATTCACCCATGCTACAGCTTCTCTTTGAATGCTTACATTCACCCATGCTACAGCTTATCTTTGAATGTTAACATTCACCCATGCTACAGCTTCTCTTTGAATACTAACATTTACCCATGCTTAGCTTCTCTTTGAATGTTAACATGCACCCATTCTACAGCTTCTCTTTCAATGCTAACATTCACCCATGCTACAGCTTATCTTTGAATGCTAACATTCACCCATGCTACAGCTTCTCTTTGAATGTTAACATGCACCAATGCTACAGCTTATCTTTGAATGTTAACATGCACCCATGCTCAGCCTCCCTGTGAATGCTAACATTCACCCATGCTACAATTTCTCTTTGAATGCTAACATTCACCCATGCTACAGCTTATCTTTGAATGTTAACATGCACCCATGCTACAGGTTCTCTGTAAATGTTAACAAGCACCCATGCTACAGCTTCTCTGTGAATTGTTACATTATGCTCCCTTGCTGAAGCTTTTGTTTGAATGTTAACATACACCCATCTACAGCTTCTTTTTTAATGTTAACATGCACCCATTCTACAGCTTCTCTTTGAATGCTAACATTCACCCATGCTACAGCTTCTTTTTAAATGTTAACATGCACCAATGAAACAGCTTAACTTTGAATGCTAACATTCCCCCATGCTACAGCTTATCTTTGAATGCTAAAATTTACCCATGCTACAGCTTATCTTTGAATGCTAACATTCACCCATTCTACAGCTTATCTTTGAATGTTAACATTCACCCATGCTACATCTTCTCTGTGAATGTTAACATGCACCCATGCTACAGCTTCTCTTTGCATACTAACATTCACACATGCTCAGCTTCTCTTTGAATGTTAACATGCACCCATTCTACAGCTTCTCTTTGAATGCTAACATTCACCCATGCTACAGCTTATCTTTGAATGCTAACATTCACCCATGCTACAGCTTCTCTTTGAATGTTAACATGCACCCATGCTACAGCTTATCTTTGAATGTTAACATGCACCCATGCTCAGCCTCCCTGTGAATGCTAACATTCACCCATGCTACAATTTCTCTTTGAATGCTAACATTCACCCATGCTACAGCTTATCTTTGAATGTTAACATGCACCCATGCTACAGGTTCTCTGTAAATGTTAACAAGCACCCATGCTACAGCTTCTCTGTGAATTGTTACATTATGCTCCCTTGCTGAAGCTTTTGTTTGAATGTTAACATACACCCATCTACAGCTTCTTTTTTAATGTTAACATGCACCCATTCTACAGCTTCTCTTTGAATGCTAACATTCACCCATGCTACAGCTTCTTTTTAAATGTTAACATGCACCCATGCAACAGCTTAACTTTGAATGCTAACATTCCCCCATGCTACAGCTTATCTTTAAATGCTAAAATTTACCCATGCTACAGCTTCTTTTTTTAATATGAACATGCATCCATTCTACATCTTATCTTTGAATGTTAACATTCACCCATGCTACATCTTCTCTGTGAATTTTAACATGCACCCATGCTACAGCTTCTCTGTGAATGTCTACATGCACCCATGCTACAGCTTCTCTGTGAATTGTTACATTATGCACCCATGCTGAAGCTTTTCTTTGAATTTTAACATGCACCCATGCTACCGCTTCCCTGTGAATGTTAACATTCACCAATGCTACAGCTTCTCTTTGAATGCTAACATTCACCCATGCTACAGCTTCTCTTTGAATTCTAACATTCACCCATGTTACAGCTTATCTTTGAATGTTAACATTCCCCCATGCTACAGCTTCTCTGTGAATGTTAAAATGCTACCATGCTACAGCTTCTCTGTGAATTCTTACATGCACCCATGCTACAGCTTCTTTGTTAACACTGCAACCTTCAATTTAACAAAAAGTAATGCCATTGCTCAAACTCCATTCCCACTCATTCTCCCACTAATCTTCCATCAGTTGCTAAGCATCAATACATTTTTTGTTAAAAATTTGATAGCATCAACATATTTTGGCGGTTTGGGCACCAGTAACTATCACATATCTGATATAACAACATTGTTTTAGTTAATTTAAAGCAATCAGTTATTTTGCTTTCATAGCCCGGTTGTGCCGAGTGTTGATTTGGCATGTGGTAAATATTTATTTAGCTCTTGCAAATAGATTTGATTTCATGAACTTGAACGTAAGAAGCATCATTTTACAACTTTTTACTTATTTGGCATATTTTTTCATCTCATCTGAATCCAGCGACCCCTATATTTGTTGATGGACCAAGGGATCAGACAGTCTCTGAGGGTAAGGATGTTGAATTTAGCTGTAATGCCAGATCGGCATCTAACGAACGACCCCCTTCCACACCAACCTGGTACATCAATGGTGAAGCCACTGGACCACACATAGGTAAATTTTGACATTTTTAGTAGGAGCAGGATTTTGCGGAACTAATTAATAAGCCGAATAAATTTTGTTCACCCAAGTTTGTGAAATTTTAAAATGGTTCTTTAAGAGCAATTTTATTTATGAATAATATTGCATTATTATTTTTTCAGATCGAGCCAAATACGTCATTGAAAACAAGAAACTAACTGTAAAGAGTGTCCACAAGGCTAGAGATATATTGTGTGTCCAATGTTCAGTTACTAATGCTAGAGGCACAACGTGGGGAGATGGATGTCTTAATGTTCTATGTATGTGGTTGAACTTTCATTTAGGATAAAAGTCAAATATCTTTATAATTATTTAAAGAAAAAAATTAACATTATTAAATTTAAAAGGATTAAAATTTATTTCAACAAACCAATAAACCTGGATTATTTCATCTGAAATTAATTATTACATAAGAGAAATTCAAAATGTCACATCAGTCTGTTTACAAATATATACCAACCATGCATTTCATACTTAATACTAGTTCTTTCTTTTCATTATATTGTATGTAGTGCCTATAACGATAACAGTACAACCAGCAGTCGAACAGAGCGTTGATCACGGTGACGTCATAGACCTTACCATTAAAGCTACAACAGACGAATCACAGACACTGGCTTACAAGTAAGAATTGCTTTCTTTAAATATTTAAATAGGAATCTTGGTGTCAGCACATTTAATTTGGAAATAGAACTACATAGTTGAATGGAATATTATGGTCAAATTAGTTTGTACATCTAACAAGGATACCTTATGTACAATCACCTTTTAATATATTTAAATAAAAGCTCTCGTTTGGACACTGAATGTGTAAATTTGGATGGAAGATTTGTGTTTTTGTTAACAATTCACATATTTATTGAATTTGTCCCCACCAGGTGGCTCCACTTTCAGAATAAAAGTACAACAGTTGGGCAGGAGCCTCGTTTCCTGATCATCGATCCCATCACTCATGCTACTATTATCAACACCAGTTTATTGTCGGAAAAGGAATATGAGACAGTTGGAGGAATCTACAGAAGAGTCATATCACACACATATGATTCAATTAATGTAGATGTGAATATCACCCTCAACGATAGGTCTGAACAAGGGGGTAGGTAGTTAAGTCAGCTTTTGTTTGTTTTTTTTTTTTTGTTTTTTTTTTTTTTTTAAAAGCCATCTAGCTTCACAAGTATTGGTGAAATTAATTGGGTTAATGGTGTGATTGAATTAATTGATTTATTTTTAATATTTAAGCTCATTTGAATTCATGCAAGTCATTATAAATTGTCATAGGTAGCAAGAGAAACTGCAATAATGTTTTGTCATTCCAACTTTTTGTCAATCATTCACCGTCTTGTTGTGACTTGCATAGTCACACAATTTTTATCATTTTTATATTCCTTCACCTGCAAACTATCCATGGCCTTGTTTTTGTAGCAACTCGTATTATTTGAAATGTAGGCACATTAAACCAAACCACATTTTATAAGAAGGCCGTTTATTTAAATTTGTAACATCAGTGTTGAGACAAGTATATTTATACGAGTTAAGTTAAGTGGAAGTTATTCGGTTTTACTTGGGTAATAAACTCGATTTAAAGAAATAAGCACTGCTTCAATTTAACACTGGTTAATACTGACATAGTAAATAGTATAGAATATCCCACGATGAATGGACTGAGAAATATGATTGATGAGTGGTGAATCTACCAGTGAATAAACAAAGAAATATCATTTTGGTCTGTGAAGCCAGCAGTGAATGATCAGAGAAATATGATTGGTGGACGATGAATGGACAGACAACTATTTTTTAACACATTGAAAATTAAATTATATTTCCAAATTAAAAATTGTGTTGAAAATGTGTTGAATTGTGTGAAAATGTGTTGAATTGTGTTGAAAATGTGTTGAATTGTGTGAAAATGTAATTTGGCAAAACTTTCCAGGAACCATTCAGGTCTAAAGTTATCAGGTTGTGATCAATTGTTTGGTTTTCTTGTTTTAAAAAAAACTGATCAAAATACATGTAAACATGGTTACAGTGACTGCATAATATCGTATGTTGGTATTACAGCTCTCTTTCCCTAATAAAATTGAATGATGAAAAGATTGAGCTGATCCCCATTGCCACCGCTCAGAAGAAAAAAAATCTGCAAATAACACATCGCTTACTCTCTCAGGTGTTTGGATTGAGTTTGCTCAAACAGTGCGTAACCTGGGTGTGTACCCAGATAGACCATTGACTTTGGAAAATCACATTAACACGCTTTGCAAAGCAATTTTTCTAGATTTGCGCCGGTTTAGTCATATCAAACATTTATTAACGTTTGACGCATCAAAGAGGGTGATGTCTGCATTCGTACTATCACGCAATGATTTCTGCAATGCTCTCATGGTGGGTCTTCCAGCTAAGCCCCTGGATAAAATTAAATAGCACAGAATAATAAAGCGACTCGCATTGTTCTTCGCAAACGCAAATTCGACCATGCTAAAACTCTTCTGCGAGAGCTGCACTGGCTGCCGGTCCGCGCTAGCATAGATTACAAAATTGGAACTTTGTGTTACAGGTACCGCTGCTTACATGACCTGGCGCCATCTTATCTCAAAGCACTCATGGTGCCTTATGTACCCAAACGACACCTCCGCTCATCCGATAGTGGCAAAATATCGATACCGTGCGTTCACCTTGAGACTTACGGAAAGCGCACCCTCGTATTTGCTGGCTGAACAATCTGGAACGCCCTTCCTGTCGCTCTTATAAACAGCCAGACACTGGAATCCTTTAAAACCTACTTAAAAACCCATCTATTTCGCAAACATCTTCTGGGGTGATGTTGTCTCGAATTTTTCCAGTTAATGTATATTGGCTTGTGTTTTTTATGGCTGAAAGGAATGAAAGATTTTGACTTCGTATGCTCGTATGTAGTTATTGTACTGTTTCGTTTGTTTTTAAATATGACAAATTATAGATTATTTTCATTTCTCTTTTTAAATATGTTGACTTTGTACCGCGCTTTGAGCTTTTGGGGATAAAGCATTTTTTTCTTCAAATAAACTGTATTATTATTATTATTATTAATATTTTTAAAGTCCCCAATCAACCATTAGATTACTTGTTTTTCTGTAATTTTATTTGAATTTTGTTTTTTTAAATTGTTGGTTTTAATATATAGATCATTTTCTGTAAGTGCACCTTTCCAACTAGGATATTTGCACCTGATTTGGCTCAAGAAAATATTATGTAGTCTGTTTAATTCTGAAATACGTTTAAACCTAAAAAATTCTCTTAATAAGTTACTAACTAACTCATTATATATTTCAGTGGTAGTTACAGAAAGTGCAAGAATAGACGTTTGGATAATTGGCCTGATTATTGCAATTCTCTTCCTTATCATAGTCATTATTATAATCATGATCCGCCGTAAACAACAAGAGGGAGTCTATGATGGTAAGTTGTTTTTCTTTAGTCCTGATTAAAAAGATCACTGATCAATTTAAATTGTATTTCTTTATAGCAAAACTCGCTACATGAATATTTTTTTCACCACTTCTTTTGGGAATGTTTTAAAATGAATTATTTCTTTTCCTGTAACAATAATGATTACATTTTTATCATTTTGAAAGGAGTCAGGGATATATTTTAAGCAAAATTTATTTTTTTCACAGTAAACAGGATAGAGAGACAAGCTGGACTTGATCCTGAAAAAGAATTATCTGAAAAAGTTTTCAGTGAATACTCCCGACCGTAAGTTGATTTTTTTTAAATTAAAAAAAAAATATCTGTAGATCTAGTTGAATCAGATTTTCCATTTTTTATATTTTTATTTTTTAAAGTTCTGCTATGTAATGTTTCAAAACATTTTTCAAAAATCCATATAAAGATCAGTTAATGAATGCAATCAAGATTTTAGTTTGTAAGTGTGGAGCTGAAAAATTGTTAGGTGCCTCTGATCCTCATAGTTATAATTATTTGACTGATATTCATATAAACCCTCTTAACATTTGTTTGCAGCACTCAAGCGTTCTTGAAACAATATTTCCTCAGTAGTGCAGTTTACTTTTACGAATTTGCCGTACGATGTACAATTTTGAGATGTCTTTTATGATTGTATGCTGAGACCCGTTACAACTACGATTTTAAGAGACCGGTTTGAAAATATATACGTAGGCACTACAACTCAAATTTTCAGATACATCTGACATACAAAAACAGTACATCATTGGAAAGAGCTTACTCTAAGCTTTCCAATGACACCAAGATAATCTTTCTATCACTTATAGGAGAAAAGTTATGAATTTTTTAGTGATTTATTTTTCCCCACTATTCGACTTTGTATTTAATGTTTAAAACTGTGATCGCATAAATACTCTTTTTGTACTACTTTGCGTGTATCTTTTTGGCTATTAAAGTTAGAGCTCTCAAATTTGGAGGAGACAGTTACACTACAATGTTTAACAGCATAAAACACATGAATTGTGAATTAACTTATTATATTTTTTTAAACATGACTTTATGAGCATATGGCGTGGATAACGACAATCGTCGAAAAATTTAATTTTTCAAAAAATGACATAATTACTAAACCAATAAAGCTATTGCTATAAAATTTTCAATACAAACAGATAATATCTATCTAAAAGTAAGGTAAATAAATAAAATGCAGATCAGCATCAGAAAAATTTATGCAACGTTAGAAAAAATATTTGATGAAAAGTGACCGCGGCTGAGACATTCTTACACTAAGACTAAGAAAGATAACTTTTAAACTAATAAAGCTACTGCAAAGAAATTTTCAGCATTATAGATAATGACAAGCGATGTTAAGTCTTCAAACAGTTTAATAAAGAGAAGTCAACTGAGTGGAAGATTAACAGGGATGAATAACAACTAGGTAGACTGAAAAAAAAGAAGATGGTTTTCAATTAAATTACGCAATTTCGCAAAATTAAAGAATTTTCCTAGTATTAAAATTTATTTATTTCATTAATTTATTTCTAGTATTAATACAATTTAGGTCTATTAATACACCCTTAGCCCTTATAATTAGTAGTCTTGGTTTATCTGATAATAAAAGAGAAAAAATACATTATTTATTGTTTAGAACCAAGAGGAATTCCTATTGGTAAATTATTCAATTATTTCTTATTTACAAAGAATAATTGTACTAACATTTAATTTACAACAAATTATTATTTTTTTATACATTTATATTGTTGATTCATATTAGAATCAAAAACATTTGTTTAATTAGATGTTTCAATTATTTAGAAATGTTTAATTTAAATCTTTATTTCCAAATAATTTCACCTCCCTCCAGTAAATAAAATTATGTAAAAAAAGATGGCCGCCGTTTTTTCATAACATGTGGATTTTTTTTGGATCGTTCAGTATCATAAATTTTAGACATGGCCAGTGATGTTAACAATAACTGTTTTCGATGTAAAAGTGATCAGGCTAGACCTATACTTAATTTTCATTTCTCTCTTTTGCTATACAAAACTATCGGCATGAGTTTAAACTTAGCGACAGTTCGCGCTCCAACGGTTCACCTAAGACAGGTCAGAAAACAGAATGGCACAGAATTTATACCGTCATGACCGGAATTCTTCAGCGAATAAAGTTTAAGACTCATACTTATTTATTTTTAGAAAATGACGCATATTAACAACAAAGCCCGACGTATACCGAAACCCGCCATTCACGGCTGGTCACAGAAATGTACCAGGCCATCCCCGCGGTTTTTTTTTTGCCCGCGACGTCCGATACGTTCTGGCAGTTTTTCCTATTAAAAGAATAATATAATAATAATAATTAAAAAGTAAATTTTTGGTTGTTATTTTTAACTTGCATTCTGCATCCAGCAGTGAGTGGATCAAGAAATACAATTGGTTGGTGACCATCTATATTTATATTAGGATGCGAC